GCGGCTTCATCCCTAGGCTACGAGCAGGTGGTGAAGCTGCTGCTCGACGCAGGCGCCGACGTTAACGCGCAGCGTGGAGGATTCGGCAACGCGCTCCAAGCGGCTTCAGAAGGAGTGTTACGATCACAGGATCGGGAACAGGGTTGGCCAGCCAGGACGGAGGAAACGGCGGCCCAAGCCCGAGATCACGGAACAAAGGGTCACGTGCGAAGTCACGGGAATGATCAGGGCCACGTGACGTGGATCAGGTGGATCAGACGGAGCAAGGTGGATCAGGTCTGATCCACGGGAGCCAGGTCTTGGCGCCTGATCCAGCCAAGACGGCACATGTATATAACAAGGAGGAGCTCGCTCCTTACGGCTCCTCGTAGTTATTGCTTTGTTTATCAAATTGCTACTGCGACTTGAGATTTACAGTATCATTGCCTCCACCCCTTTGTTACTGAAGATCCCAGCCCGAAGCACACCCCTTGCCTCTCCTTACGCAAGTAAGCCTCGGTCTCAGCCAAGAGGACAGCTCGTAACAAGGAGGCTACGAGCAGGTGGTAAAGCTGCTGCTTAACGCAGGCGCCGACGTTAGGGTGCAGGCGCATTAACAATACTATTTTACTATTATATATTTATTATTCTATCTATTTTATAGAGAGCTAGAAATTAGAATAAATATATAGCTTATAAATTTACTACGTTAAACCTTTAAGTATAACCTAGATTAGCTAACTAAGGTATTTATATACTAAATTTTAGATTAAGTATTTACTACTTAAGGTAAATAAATATCTTAATTATACTAGTAGAAAGAATAGCTAATCTATACTAATATAGACTTTACGCTAGAAGTAATAGTCTATAGATATAGCTAAAGAGAAGATTACTATATATAGTTCTATATAGTATAGAGTTCTTACTAAGTAGAGCTATTATTATTCTTTATAGATATAAATAATTTAAAATTTTATATAACTCTTAAAGATTAAACTAAAGTATATCTCTACTATACTAGAGATTATAGTACTTATATAAGAAGCTATTAGTTATTTAACTATATAATAGCTATATTACTAGAATATATTAAACCTTTACTTTTATATATAACGTACTTTATAAGCGAACCGACTACATAAGCAAGCCGACTACCTTTCTCTTAGTAAGAAAATTAACGAAAATTAACCCGTTTTTCTTAAATAACTTAGCGAAACCTTAATACTTTTCTATAAATATTTATATATATATTCTCTATAGTATATTACACCTTATAGTAAAGTTATACTAAGATATATTACGTAATTAAAAAGCTATACGTATTTAGGTAACTTTTAAGAAAAATCTAGTTTACTTCTAGTTAGTACTATTATATCTTTATAATAATATATAAAACTTATATTATATAGTATCTATAACCTAATAAAGGTTTCTAGAAAATTTCTATAGAGCTAGCTCTTCTAGGTATAGCGTAATAAGAGATAGAAGTTAGAAAAATATCTTCTTTAGAGGTTTCTCTTCTAACTATATATATATATAGGTAATCTAGCTATATAAACTTATTATTATATAAATTATAGTAGGCTCTAACTATATAGAGCTTATTAACTAATAATATAGAAGCTTTAAGTAGTTATTTAAAAGTAAAGTCTTTTTAGTAGTATAGTATAGAAAGAGAGAAAGATACTAAAACTATCTTAAAATTATTACTTCTAAATATATAGCAGGCTTATAATATATATTAGCTTATAATATATAACTTTATATAGCTAGATTATTAATATATATATATAGTTAGAGAAGAAAACTCTAAAAAAATTTTTTTAAACTTCTACCTCTTATTACGCTATACCTAGAAGAGCTAGCTCTATAAAAGTTTTCTAGAAACCATTATTAACTTATATATACTATATTTAATAAGTTTTATATATTATTATAAAGATATAATAGTATTAACTAGAAGTAAACTAGATTTTTCTTAAAAGTTACCTAAATACGTATAGCTTTTTAATTACGTAATATATCTTAGT